CAGGGGAAACGAAAAACCCGTAGGCCGTTAACCTGCCGGGCCCCGAGCAGCTCCGCAGAAGATGCGGAGGGTTTTCGTGAACGCCTGAAAGAGTTTGAAGGCCTCCGTTCCCCCCCCGACCGCGCGGAGCAGAGGGCCGCGGCGCAGGCCGACCTCCCCCACCAGAGCATCGAGGACCCCCGACGCTGCTGTCGTTGAGCAGTCCCCCCCCCCCCAAAGCTGACCGAGCAGGAAAATCGACGAGGGCCCAGCTCCTCTCGCTGACGCAGCAAGTTCAGAAGGCTCAGGCGGCCGCTGCTAAGTCGGCGACCTCTGGCCTGCCCATGCCGTTCCCGCCGCCCATCCCGCAGTCCGGCACGCCTCTCCCCGCTCCCACGGCGCAGAGGGTGCGGTCGGGCCTCCCCGAGCAGTACAACCGCTCGCAGAGCGGCACGCCTGACACGTCTTCTGTGAGTGAGCCCCCTCCCCTCGCGCCCTGGGCCAAGGAGGCCACGCTGGTCGAGCCGAGGACCCCAGCCTCAAGGAGATCCAGGAGATGGAGGCGCGCACTGCTGCCAAGGCCGAGGAGGCCGCCGCCGCCGCCCGCAAGCAGGCTCTCGAGATGGAGGCCGCTTCACTCCGCGAGCGCGAGAAGGCCACGGCCCTTGCCACGGGCCTGCCGACCACGAGCACCTGGGGCAACGGTTCGCGCCGTGGCTGCCGCCAGCCCGTGGACCAAGCCCGGACCGGTCAAGGTCGGCGCCCGGCATCAACCTGACGCTCAAGCAGAAGACGCTGGCCGACATTCAGCGCCGAAGAGGAGCACGCAAGGAGAAGGCGCTGCCGCCCCGTGCAGTCGAGGCTTGTTTCGGCCGCGGCAAAGCCTACGCCGATCTTCGCTCGCACCGGTTGCCGCAAGCCGCCGGGTCTCGCGCAGCAGGGTGCTCCTGCTGCTGCTGCCGGCGCCCCCGTCGGCCCCGGCTGAGCGACCGTCGGTGCCGGCGGCAAGGTCAAGCGCCGGGCGGCGTGGCTGTCGCGCAGTCGCCGGTGCGCTCGGTCAGCACGACCAACGTCAAGCCCGTGTCGTCGACGCCCAAGCCCGTGGTCACGCGGCCCGTCGCCAGCAGCGTCAGTGTGGCCGCTGGCAAGACGGACGCGGCCATGGACGAGTTCAACAAGTGGCTCAACCGGGAGCTCACGCGGGGCGGCATCCACGGCGTGGACAGTGAGTTGACCTGTTGAATCTGCGAACTGAAGGAGAACGCATGCTAACCAATCGATGCAGTCGACACATTTGCCGCCATGCTCATGATCCTGCCGGCGGAGACGTCGGTGATTGCGGACGCCATCTACGCGAACAGCAAAACTATGAATGGCGCTCACTTTGCGGAGGAGTTTGTGCGGCGCAAGAGGCGGGCCGACCAGGGCATCGTCGAGAAGCAGCCGACGTCGGCGGGCGGCGAGAGCAAGACGGCGGCGTCGAGCAGCGGGTGGAGCGAGGTCGCCAAGAAGAGCGGCGCCAAGGAGGCGGGCGCTCCGACGGCCGAGACGAACATGCAGGGTGCCGCGTTCAAGGTTGTGTCGGGACGCAAGAAGGGGTCGAAGAAATGAGGCACGATGAGGCCCATGAGGAGCATGGAGCGGGAGGTGGCAGCAGAGGTGCTGTTTGAGACAGCTCGTGTACTTGTATGGAGGGAGAGCGGATGATTGTCTGTTGAGGACATGGTTGAAGAACATGCCACGCCAGCAGCGTCAGCGTTGTACTCTGTCAAGCGAGCATGGCACAGTCAGTAGGCAGTCCACTGTTGAACACAGCATGCATGGACAGCATGCATGGATTCCTCTTGTGATTTGATCCTGATATCCGTAGGTGAAGAGGACGGATCCGTGGAAGCGCGGTGAGGCTCGGTGAACCGCTGAGACTCGGTGAAGATGCTTAGGTCAGCGAATTAAAACTCTGTGTGGAAAGAGAAAGAGCCCCGCCCCCACCATGAAATGGACATGACATTTCTTTCGCCAGTCCGTCAACCTCGCATCCATTCCATCCGCCGTGCCACCAGTTCAGCTGCAGGCTGCTTGAACATTGGGAAGACAGTTCTTGATACCCAGGAGAGGCCTACTGCTATTTTTCTTTTGCCGTCTTCCGTGTCATTTCCTCATCTTCCAGGCTCCCTCACGCCGACCAGGCGGGGCAGCCATCACCACCATCATCACCATCGCGGGGTCATTTCAGTCACACAGCAGCAGCAGCAGCAGCAGCAGCAGCAGCAACCTTGGGCAACCATAGCCATGGCCGTCGCCCAACCATCAACAGCGACGCCGCAGGGCTTGGCCGCCAAGGTGGCAGCCGGCTCGTACGTCGAGGTGCTTTCGTCCGAGCCGGCCAAGACCCTCATCAAGGCCTTCACCCAGTCCCTCAAGACGGCGACGCCGCACGCCGAGCCAGCCGCCCACACCGACGAGCAGGACTCCCTGACCATCGCCGTCGCCGCCCTCACCGACGAGCAGGAATCCCTGACCATCGCCGTCGCCGCCCTCAACGCTTTTCTGCAGTCCAACGTCACAGGCCCCGTTCTCGAGAACGCGAAGCCTGTGACGGCCCTCTTCGTCGCCGGCCACGGGGACGTCAAGACGCTGCGCAGGGCCTGTCTCGTCGACCTCCAAGTCGACGGCGTGGCCCCCTACGCCCATATTCCGCACATTGAGCTCTTTGCCTTTGCGCGCCGCGTCGTTGCTGCCGCTGTCACGACGCTGTCCGAGACGGCGCCGCTCGCGCTCGACGCCGCCACGACCATCTCCCTCGCGTGGCTGCGCCTGCGCCTCGCCGTCTGGCACTACCGCCTCCTGGCCCAGCCGTCGCTATCTGGCGCGTCCTTTGCCAAGACGTCGCAGTGGATCGACGTGCCTTCCCTCGCCGAGACGGTTACGGCGTCGCTGGGGCGCGTGCGCCAACAGCTGTTTGGCGACGGCCACGATGACGATGTCTGGGCGCTCGCTGCCGCCGAGGACGTGGCGTGGGGACGTCAGGACAAGGTACAGTTCCTGCTCGAGGCGGCGAATGCGTGGATCATGCTGGGGCGCGACGACAAGGCGCGTGAGGCCCTGGCCGAGGCGACCAGGCTCAACAGGTTCGAGTTTGCGCTCTCGGGTGCCCTGGGCAAGAGGACGCGGTTCCAGGAGAAGAGCATCAGTCAGCTTGTCGTGCTGGCGCGCAGTGCCGCGCACGAGGCCGAGGCCACGGTGGTCGCTGACGAGGACGACGCAGATGTCGAGGCCAAGCCCGATGCCCTCGCTCTCAACGACGACACGCTGCTGGAGACGATTGACTTTTCCGAGGGCCGTGACGGGGATGCCGCCAAGTCCGCCACGCTGCCCGCTGCGCTCGTCGATATCAAGCCTGATGACCAGCCGCAGCTCGCGCCCCTCGACCAGATCATCTTGTTGACCGAGGCGACGCTCAAGGATTCCTTCTCGCCCGTCGACACGCTGACGTCGGAGGAGGTGCTGCCGTATGCCGTGCGCGTCGTCTCGGAGAAGTCGACCAACTGGCAGATTTACACGCAGGCGCTGCTCGTGCGGTCGAGGATCGAGATGCACAGGAGTCGCACCATCGAGCGGGGCGTGCTGCAGATGCAGGCTGTTGTCGACCAGGTCGTCGTTGACACGGAGCAGCCTGCCGAGGCCGAGGCCGAGGAGAAGGAGGAGAACAAGGACGACGCAGACGTGCCAGCGATCGCCGTCACGGCGCCTGACCAAGCACCCGAGCAGCCCGACGCTGACAAGCCGACGACCTTCTTCCGCGCCGCTGAAGCCACCGACTCGGCGCCCGCCCATGTTCGCCTGCAGTACATCCACGCGCTCGCGTCTCCGCCACGCTGGCACCTCGAGTCCGAGCTCGCCTACTCGTGGGCTCACGTCGGCTCCCTTGTGTCTGGCCCTCGAGATCTTCAAGCGTCTCCGCCCTCTGGGCCGAGGTTTGCGCTCTGGCTTCGCCACGGCAGCCCCCCCCCCCCGGCTGGACGACGAGTCGGGACGCGGCAGCGGCGGGGAGGGAGGAGGGCAAAGGGGAATCTGGGGGTGGGCCTTTTTTCCACGCGGCCGGGGCGGCGGCGCGGGGCGACCCCAAAAGAAAAAAAAAACCCCCCCGACGGCGGGGGGCTTTTTTATGGAGGGGGGGGAGGTCCTTTGCCCGGAGCCGGGCCCCGGCGTTGCGGGCCCCGTCCCTCCGCGGTCTTCAGAAAAAAAAAAAAAAAGACCCAACTTTTTTTTTTTTTTTTTTTTCCCGCGGGGCGGGGGGGGGGGGGGGGGGGCGAAAAAAGAGGAAAAGAGAAAGTAAGCAGACCGGGGGGGGGGGGAGAAAAAAAAAAAAAAAAAAAAAAAA